GATTTTTCCATTTTTTCTGTTTGATGCAATGGTCGCTGGAAATACAAGTTGTTTTCAACCAACTTGTAGTAATGGGAATTTTGTAACAAGTATTATGGAGAAAGATTCTTTGACATCTAATATATAGGTAAACTTTATAATACACACACACACGCACACACACAAACGCGCGCGCGCTACATTAGATATTTTTCTGGAGTATTATAGCCGCTATATATACTTCAAACAAGATATTTATATAGGTATGAATAAAAAAGATTTTGAATTAAATCAAATATTATAAATATTGTGCTTTTATCAGCATACAAAGTTGAATATTTCTGAACAGACAAATAAACATTAATACTGTCTGTATTTCGAAAAAAATATATGTATTGTTTACAAACTCAATTTCAACGCAATAGATTTAATAGCTTTTGATACCTTTGTATGTAAAGCGTTCTTTTCTTTTTCATGTATAATAAAGCATATTTTTCATTTAACTTTTATATAATACAAAAATACTATAGTTAATAAAAATGAAATAAATAATATATAACTAATATATACAAACTCTATATACTTTTTAACTTATGTTATAATTTTTGTGTCATAATTTTTTTTATGTATTAAATGATCTTTACGAACATGTATATGTGTATATATATTATTTACAATTCATTTAAATGAAAAAAGAAGCTCTTGTCCGAGAATCAATTCCTAATGCGCATTGAACTCTGCGCAAGAGTTAGCGCAGCTAACCTGCAATCTGCAACGGCAAAACTGCGAAAATTATGAAGTAATCTTTCTTACATTTTTACAAGATAAATATATTTTCTTCAAGACAAATTAAAACGTAAACGAAATATGTTAGCTAATGAATAAATTTATATCAGATATTATTTCTCTTGACTCACATGTTGATTATTGCTATAAACCCATATGGATTTTACACGCCTCTTCCCATTTCCAACAATTCCAACATTGACAGATTGATTGCTGTATCTGCTAATGTAACAACCGGTAAGACTATACATCATTTTGATGTATGTGACAACTTCTCGATACAATTAAAGGAATTTGTTTGATGTAAACAGGATTATTAAGTCAAACCAAAAAAATACGCTAATTGTTTCGGAATAAAGTAATCTGATGGAAATTTATTTTGGTGATATTACCTAACCTAAAAGTTTATTGTATTTTTAATTACAGGTGACTTAATTAGATTTCTGATATTACTGTGAAAAAAAAGATATCGAGGACTTACTCGTTTACTCTGAGATTGTTGTAGTATAAAGATGCCAACTATTGGAATAAAACGTGATTTGCTATTTGAAGCATTAGGCCAAACATATTGTAAGTTTTATATGTGTGTGTGTGTGTGTGTTTATTGATGCTATCGTAGTATCAGTAAAGTTATTTTATGTATTATAAATATTTTAATCTGTAAATTTTTAAATCTTGATTTAGCTGACGATGAATTCCAAACGTTATGTTTCAAATTTGGTTTAGAACTAGATGAAGTGGTAAGTGTTGAACTATCTTAACAATTTGTACATTTTACTTAATAATAATTACTCGATCTTTTGCAAATAGACAACAGAGAAACAAATATTAGCAAAGGAACAAGGTTTTGATCAAAGTACAATAGATGCCTCTGAAGAGATTATCTACAAAATTGATATACCTGCTAACAGATATGATCTTTTGTGCTTGGAAAGTCTAACTACTGGATTGCTTATATTCTTGAACAAGTAAATGCTGCACTATATTTTTGATCACAAAAATTTCATTTCTCAAATATTATATTTCAAAGTATAAGTTTTATTTTCTTAAATAGGATATCCATACCATGTTACAAGGCAATCAAACCAAATACAAGAATGGAAAGGATAGTGATGAGCTCACAGGTAGAATAATTATGAAAAGAAAATTTTATATTATACATGTACTTATTCTAAAGCTAAATTATCCATCTCATTATTCTTTAGTGCTTAAAAGTAAGAGGACATATAGTTGCTGCAATTTTGAGAGATGTTACTTTGACGCAAGAATCTTATAATAGTTTTATCGATCTTCAAGATAAACTGCATCAAAATATAGGAAGAAAACGTAGTCTTGTTTCTATTGGAACTCATGACTTTGATACAGTTAAAGGTCCATTTCTATATGATGCTAGATCACCATCGAAGATACGTTTCAAACCGCTTTATCAGGAAAAAGAATATACAGGAGAAGAAATCATACAATTGTATGCAGTAAGTATGCAGTCCCTTTCATTCGTATTTGTTAATTATGTTAACAGTTTCACATATAAAGAACGAAATCTCATATCTATATATTAGTTGTATTTTTAACATTTACAGACACACGCGCAGCTCAAACAATATTTACCTATTATAAAAGACAGTCCTGTTTATCCTGTGGTGTATGATAGTAATGGTATTGTTTTATCTCTCCCTCCTATTATTAATGGGGATCATTCAAAGATCACACTTGATACAAAAAATATTTTTATTGAATGTACAGCAACCGATGTTACAAAGGTATGTACATTTATATGTTGCATAATACTACTTTTATTTTGTGTGTGTGTGTGTGTGTGTATAATATTTTTCTACTTGCGTGCAAATACTATTTAAAATTAATAATTTAAAATTATAGATGTCAATAATTAATGTTATTAATTATATGTCAATATTAATGTTATTAATGATATATGAAATGTTACATGTAATTTTATTACAAATTCTTACAAATTATTATATATTATCTGTAGGCAAAAATAGTGTTGGACACGATAGTCTGTGCTTTTAGTCAGTATTGCAATATGAAATATACAGCTGAAATTGTGGAAGTTGTATATCCTGATAATCAAATTTTCTATTATCCAGAATTAAAATATCGAACAGAAGAAATCAACTACAATAAAGCGATTAGTTACATTGGTATTAAGTACGTAATTAAATCTTACGTTGCAATAATGTAATAATGATTATAGACGTAACTATATAATTATTTAAAAACATTCTCTCCCTTCCCCCCCCCTTTCCTCCCTCTAGACAGACTCCAGATCAAGTTGCAGAGTTGTTGTCAAAAATGTCTCTAAAATCCAAAATGAAAGATAAAGATACATTAATGGTGGAAATTCCACCGACAAGACATGATGTGATACATCCTTGCGATATTTATGAAGATATCGCTATCGCTTACGGATATAATGAAATAGAAAAAACTATACCAAATATATCGACAGTCGCGGCAGAAGTAAATATTCTATAAACTCTGATTATAATTTCATGTATCGATGTCACATACTTGTATACAAACAAATATGAATTGCAGTTTCCACTCAACAAACTTACCGACCAAATACGGATAGAATTAACTCAAGCGGGATTCACCGAAGCATTGACTTTTTCACTGGTATGTTTCGAAAAAGTTTGTTCATGCTTAATAATATATATACACACACACACACACACACACACGCACGCACGCACGCACGCACGCACGCACGCACACATATTCAGTAGATTCTAAAATTTGCATTTAATTATTTTATAGTGTTCGCGTGAAGATATAGCGGACAAATTAGGATATAAGATAGAGGATGTACCAGCAGTTCATATATCCAATCCAAAAACTTTAGAGTTTCAGGTAAACCGAAAATATTTTTAAAAAAAAAAGGAAGGTGTTAAAAATAATAAGAGAATATTAAAAATACAAAACTTCTGTACTGTAACTGTTGAAACAAACTGAAATATAAAATAATTTAGATTATAATATCGTTCGAATCGAAATGTGTGAAATAGCAGCTTTTAATTAAAAAAAAAAAAATTTGTTGCAGGTTGCGCGTACCTCACTTTTACCGGGATTGCTTAAAACAATATCGGCAAATAAAAGAATGCCTTTGCCTCATAAATTGTTTGAAGTTTCCGATGTTGTATTGCGAGACGACACGGCGGAAGTCGGTGCGCGCAACAATCGCCGTTTATGCGCAGTATATGCTAATAAATCAGCTGGTTTCGAGATAATTCATGGTCTGGTAGATAGAGTGCTATTATTATTAGAGATACCTTGGAACGCTAACAAGAATAAAAGTGGATATTATCTGCGTGCAGCTGATGGTAAGATATTATGGTGTTTGGAATATATCCATTTGATCAAATAACTAAACGAGTATAGAATACCAGATTTGTGAAATAAAACGACAAAAGAATTTATTATTTGTATTTTGCAGATCCAATGTTTTTCCCTCAACGATGTGCTGAAATTGTCTGTTATGGTGAAGCGATAGGAAAATTGGGAGTTTTACATCCCGATGTACTCTCAAAATTTGAATTAAATATTCCATGTTCTGCGATGGAAATAAACATTGAACCGTTTTTGTAATAAAAATAAATAATGCGCAAATAACAAAGTTAAAAAAATGAGGCTTCCATCATTCAGAGTTGAATTGATATTTCTTCAACAGAGATAACTTGTGCTTATTTATAACAATTGAAGTATAAAATTTTTTTCAAACACTTGTAAAAAGTAGTTTTTCAAATAAAATACAAAATATATTTATTACACAATGAACATGTTTTGAACAGTGTTAGCTATGTAAGCATTAGATTAATTTTTCTGCTTGTGTACTGTCGTATCTTTCAAAAATTAAAGAAAATAAAAAAAAACTTAAATTACAAAAATATATAAAAGGAACTCAATTTTTTACAAATGAACACTGAAAAATATCGCAACCTGTTGTAATTATTTAGTTTCTTTTGTCTTGAGATCAATGCTACAATCTAGGATGTTGTTTCTAGATAAGAAATAAAAGTTTATATTTGTTAGAGTTGTACTTTAATTTTTTTTATTTTGATGATTTTCAAATGTATCTATTCCTCTCTCTCTCATAAACATAAAATTGTGTAAAAACTACCAATACGTTCTTTAAAGATCAAACAGACACTTTCCACTTGGAAACATATTTTTTTTCAACACTGTTGAATCGTTCGATTCAGATAATTAACAGACGGTGAATCGTTCGATTCGGATAATTAACAGATGAAAAGAGACACGGCGAGTAGAAATATCTGTGCGCAGTTGAAGTTGGGCGCCAGACGACATGACACGACACCATATACAATACGCGTGGCAATGTACTAGGGCTGCGTTCGGAAACATCAGCCGGATATCCACGTTTAATGTTTATCATTCTATCTTTATTCAGATTCCTATCTAGGCGCTCCCAGATGTTATGTCATCCTTGTCTAATGTACAATAAACAACAAGAATGGAATGAGTGGGAATCTGAATAAAAATAAAACTAAACACAGATCACAGGTGATAGCGAAAGGAGCAAATGCGCAGCGGTAGAGCAATCCAGAATAGTGTATGCCAAATCTAGTCAATCTAGTGGTGTATCAAGTGCCATTGCCAATATTGCCATGAACGCCATGAGCCATGAATGCCATGTAGGCCGTGTGGCATGGATAGAGCGCAGTGTAGACGTAGAGGGAGCGCAGCCGCGAACGCTCGATTGAAGGAGAATGAAGGCTCAATCGCGCCGCGGTTCGTCAAAGCTGAGAATCGCTAAGCGCCGCGCGCTAAGCGACCAAGGCGACTAAGGCGACTACGGAGGACGGCGGACGGCCGAGTGCGGACGGATGTGCGATCACTGCGATCATTACGATCCGCGGCGCGGCCGGCCAACCGCGAGGCGCGAGCACCGAGCACCGAGCACGAGCAGCAGTAGCAGCAACAGCAGCAGCAGCGAGCGGCGAGAACGAGAACGAGAACCGAAAAGTGGTAATAGTGGTATATTGGAGAGTCTGGTCTGGTCTCGCTCGCCGTCGTCGGCCATAGTGAAAATGGCGGGTATTAGCTTACGTGAATGACGACGACCGTTCGCCTCCCGAGAGCTTATAGTCGCACAGTTGCGGAGAGATTTCGAGTGTACGGTGTGTGCTTTGCCGCGGTACGGCTATATCAGCGGGGTAACTGTGTGTCATATGATTTATCTGGGGGGTAAAGATGCAGAATGTAGCACAAGGAACGACCTCGGATAGCCAGAAAAGCCTCGAGAAGCCAGTCTTGCAGCCAGCAGCAGCAGCGGTATTACCACCACCACCACCACCATCAGCGAACGTTCACCACGACACTGGAAAAACGTCGTCGACTCCCCAGTCTTCGAATTCGAGTCCCACGAAATCGGAGACTGAGACCTTCTCCGAGCTGCAACCGCGCTTTATGACAGATTCGTCAGAGAGCGAGGAGGACAGCGTTTCCGAGGTAAACGCTTACGCTAAATCCTAGATGAACTCCTCTTTTTCTCTCCCTCTCTCCCCCCCCCCCTCTCTCTCTCTCTCGCTCGCTCGCTCGCGCGCGTGCCTAGATGCAACGTGATGAGATTTCGCCTCGTCGTGTGCACGGCCAACAGGACATGAGAGTAAGAGAGAAAAGGTGGGGACACGGTTCTCAGATGGAATGAGAAAGGGAGAGAGAGAGAGAGAGAGAGAGAGAGAGAGTATGTATGTATGTATGTGTGTGTGAGTGAGCGAGAGAGTGAGTGAGTGAGTGAGAGGGGAGCAGGGAGAGAATGTGTGTGTGCGTGCGCAAGCTATGGCTTATGCTCGTGAATACGTGTACACGCGTTCGCGAACGAACATTCTTAACGAATCGAGCTTCTTGACATGAAACACGATGATTTTATCCTACGCAGGCGTCGTCTTTCTCTTCTCCCTCTCTCTCGGCAACGACTTTGTCGTCGACGACGACGTTGACATACTCGTCATCGTTCACAGGGCGGATACACGCGCTATCTCCGTTGGATCGCGTTCGCCAGTTCTAGGAACGCGCGCTCAATTCCGATCTCGAATTATCTGCCGTTGAGTTCGCTCGAGTATCTCTCCTTTCTATCT